TGGAAGGAGAATGTCGAGGTCCGGAACTCATAGAGAGGCCCACAAACTTTGATTTAGCACTTGCAAGGTAAGTTTTCTTATAAAAAAGTGAAGTAAAAACCCTAAAGTTGCACAACTTGTTTATAGGCCAAAGAAAAGCCACTGTTAATTCCACTGCAAAAGAAAAATCGGCTTAGATGGGCTGAAGAACATAGACAATGGACAACCCAACAATGGTGTGCAATACAATGGAGTAATGAGGCCCGATTCGAAGTTTGTGTTGGTGACAGTCGCAGTAGAGATACTCGCAAAAAAATTAAACATTCCATGTTGACTATCTGAAGAGAAAAGTGAAATTTGCAGCATCCATTATGGTCTGGGGCAGTATGTCATCAAAAGGAGCAGGACAACTTCATTTTATTGACGGAAATGTGGATACAAACAAATATTTGGCAATTTTAGAAGAATCGCTTTTACCAGTGATGGAAGAATGTTTGACATCCGGCCAAGATTTTGTGTTTCAGCAAGATGGTGCAGCATGCCATACCTCAAAAAAGGCTATAAAATGGATTCAAGAAAATAATGTACCACTTTTGAAATGGGTTTCTAACAGTCCAGATCTGTCACCTATTGAAACTTTGTGGCACGAGATGAAAAAGGTTCTACGACAACATCCTGCTCGTACAATCACCGAACTGAGACAAAAGCTTCAAGAAATATTGGATTGTTTTACAAAAAATTTTGGCCAAAACTTGGTTAACACTATGCCCCAAAGAATTTCAGCCGTAATAAAAAATAAAGGTGATGTTACCCAATGGTAATCTTTCAATTGTTGCTTAGTTAACTTCGCGCATTTATTCGCACATTGTTTATTTGTTCAGATGTTCTATTAGTTATAGGTCTGAGTGATTTCAGATATGTATTTTTTACGACTAGAGTGTATCTAAAATGTTTTTGAGAAATAAGTTGTTTTAGAAGTAAATAGTTTCGTCATGTTTAGTTTATAAAGGCATATTTTGGTACAAATCTTGAAGTGGACCAACTGAAGTGGGACGGGGCTCGTATATCGAAATCATCAATGCCTTCTTCTCGCATTTCTGCTAGCAATTGAATACTTGCTCCAAGGTTTTCTCCTCTAGCTACCCAATCTCGAACCCAAATCGTACTATTCCTTCTCTTCTCCTTTCTTGATACCAAAAGTTTTTGGGCATATTGTATGGCAATCAAAATGATGACTTTATTCACTTCTGTGTAGAGAGTCTCTTGGTTTTCCATTTTTGCAATGGAACACTGACAGAGGGCTTACTATTAAATAGCATATGTGTTCGGAGTCTTTGCTTTGAGCAAGATCGAGCAGACCATGCTCTAAATAAGATTACTAAATACACGCAAATGTATCAGTTCGAAGAGCATGCCTGAAAATGGCATGCTATTTTATGATCATGTGTATCTGCACCTGGTAGAAGCTCTTTGGTTTATATTTTATCAAACTTTTAGCTGATAATAAATATTACAATAAGCTAAGGTAGTAATTACATACATGTGAACATATTGAATTGAATAAATGCTCACTTATTTTTTTATAGAGAGATACGATGTGTCCGCTCTAAGGGGATCCTATCTCTTAAATACCCCACTCACTAGCGATGTGGTTTGCTTCTCGACATGCTGCTGCAAGAACCCCAACGCAGCTCGACAAGTTTGGTTGCTGAGCTGGATCATCCACTATACAGCACCATCATAGTACTTTCATCTTTTCCCAAAGCTCAAAAAATGCCTTGGTGGAAAGGGCTTGTAAAATAATGATATGTTGAAAGAAACAGTTACTAAATGGTTTAATTTTCAGGCGGTAGCGTTGTTTAACGATGGGATCTCATGACTTGACAGATGTTTATATATTCATGTTTGTTATACAATTTAGATTCATAAATAAAATTTCCCTGACTCCACCACGAAACGGTTCTTACTTGAAAAATTACCCTCGTAATTAGCGTGTTTTCAAAAAACTCTTTTTGATGACGCTTTACTAAATGTAGTTTCGATAGAGGTTAAATTAAAATTTTTTAAAAATGAATTTGATAAACTTCAAAATTCCTCGGCCAAAATGTGGCACTTCATAGAAAAAATACATTCTCAAAAATGCCTAGAAATTCCTGCCCTACAAAAAGAAAATGGGGGACCTACTGAAAGCGATATTGCAGCAGGCAATGAATTCGGTAAATATTTTTCTGAAATTGGTGAGACTCTGGCAAAAGACATTTCAAATGAAACACAACTTATATATGCGAAAACCATATTGCAAAATTCCCTGTATCTGACACAGACCGATCAATACGAAATTGAACATATCATAAAGCAACTGAAAGTTACAAAATCACCGCGATTTGATAATATACTAAGTGACATATAAATCCGAACACCCAGTTTAAATGGTTTTATTTTAATAAAAGTTGGTGAACGTATTTATCTTACTGTAAATAACAAGTGAAAAAATTTTCAGCCTTGCCAGTTGGACATTCCGGTTTTTATACTGCTCTTTTTTAATTAACTAAGGCTCTAAAAATGAATATTTCAGCCGCAGTAAAGAATCAATGTTGGCGGATTTTGGTTCTTGACATCCTTTACGATCGGTTACGATGCCTAGAGTACGGAGACCTGTACGATTTCGTCAACTTAGTGAGTTTGATAGGGGCCGTATAGTGGGACTTCGGGAAGCTGGACTTTCTTTTCGGGCAACTGCAGTTAGAGTGCAAAGAAGTGTAGACACTGTGGTTAGGTGTTGTCAGGCATGGCTTCGAGAAGGCCGTACGCAAAGAGCAAGGGGCACTGGACGCCGCCGTAGAACAACAGACCGTGAAGATCGCCGCCTAAGATTATTGGCCTTAAGGGACCGTTTCTCCACTACCAGGTCCATTGCTAATGAATGGTTCGCAGAACACGGAAGACCTATTGGCATGCGAAGTTTTACCGACGAATGAGAAGTGTTGGCTTGTTTTCATACCGGCCACACTGGGTCCTCCCTTTAACTCGAGAACACCGACGTAATCACCTTGAGTGGTGTAGACAACGGTCACTCTGGGATCAGGAATGGAACAGTATTGTCTTTAGTGACGAGTCTCGATTTTGTTTAGGCATGCACGATGGTCGTGCCAGGGTTAGAAGGGTACGTGATGAAAGGAGGAATCCACAGTTTTTTGTTGAAAGACATGTTCATCACACTGTTGGAGTTATGGTTTGGGGTGCTATAGCTTATGGTTCCAGGTCACCTTTAATCTCCATCAGAGGTAACATGAACGCGCAGCGTTATATCCACGAAGTTCTAGAACCCCATCTTTTACCCTATCTTGACACCTGCCAGATCCAACTTTCCAACAAGATACTGCCCGACCACATGTTGTAAGAGTCACAATAGACTTCTTTCAACATAATGATGTCACATTGTTACCATGGTCACCAAGATCTCCCGACTTATCCCCAATTGAGCACGTGTGGGATATGATAGGTAGGAGATTGCTCAATTTGCAACGTCCTCCTCAGACTCTAGAAGCACTTCGAGAGGAGTTGGTGGTTGCCTGGAATGAGATACCACAGGAGGACATAGACCACCTGATCAGAAGCATGCCTAGGCGCGTTGGAGGATGCGTACCACATCAGGGTGCATCCACACATTATTAAATGTCAAAGGGCTTTAAAGCAGTGCAATCATTTTGAAATTTTTATCATTTACTTATTAAGCTTCATTAAGTACTTATACAAAATTTTATTAAAATAAAACCTTTTAAACTGGGTGTTCGGATTTATATGTCACTTTGTATATAACCGCATACACTCTGAGACAAATAAATTATAAAATTCCTAAAGTATTAGCATATCTTATAACACCTGCATGGAAAGAGGAATATTCCCAATTAAAAAAAGCCAATAATAAAACCTGTATTTAAATCTGGAGATAAACAGAAACCTTGTAATTATCGACCAATTTCAGTATTGACAAACTTTTCAAAAATTTTCGAAAAACTTCTTAAAAACCGCTTTTCAGATTTTATTGCAAAATACCACCTCATATCTGAAGAGCAATACGGATTCCAGGAAGCAAAATCAAGTCAAGATGCACTTATTCAGTTCACAACCAAGATTTACAAGTACGTTGATAATAATATACCTAACCAAAGCATTCAATAGTATTACGCATCAAAAATCATAAAACATCTTGGAAAATTGAATATTTCGTGGAGTCACTTATCAACTCATGAAAAGTTATTTAGAAAACAGGAAATAGTGTGTTAACATCAACAGTACACTGAGAATATGATTGTTAGATGCGGAGTTCCACAAGGAACCGTATTGGGACCAATGCCGTTTAATTTATATATTAATGACCTCTTTAAGTTAAAAACCTATGGAGCAATTATTGGTTTCGCAGACGATACCTCAATTATTTACTCAGACAAAGATTGGACTTCTTTAAAAAACAAAATTGTATTAGATTTTCAAAGAGTTACAAATTTTTTCACGGAAAGGATTTTAACAGTCAGTTTCAGCAAAAAATACTTTATTACAATTTCTTGCGACAACAGATCTTCCCCAAATTTTAATCAACTCCAAATTAAAACGTTGAATAGATGTAGAAACATACAATCGGTTGATAATTTCAAATACCTACGGGTATTCATAGATAACCATCTAAGATGGAATAAACATATTGAAAATTTAGTCAGAAAATTAAGATACCTTATTTCGAAAGTCAAATATTTCAGCAGTTTTTTAAGCGAAAAATATCTACACATGATATATCATGCCCTTGTTCAACCATTACTATCTTAAGGAATCTTAGCATGGGGGGGAGTCATGAATAATTATTATAAAAAGATTGAAATTACGGAGAAGTGGATTTTGAAAGTTATGTTTACAATAAATCTTAGCTTTTCGACTGCCTGCAAATTTATTTTTATCATACAATAATATATTTAACAAAAAATCCAAAATTGTTACTTTCCATCAGCCACAACCATCAAACGCGATCCAACGAAACCTCTGCAATCATTCCTAGACTTAGTAAAACTATCAGCCAAAGATCATTCTATTTTCTATGCTCAAAATTTTATAATGTTATTCCTGAAAGCCTTAAATATATAACATGTATAAAACGTTTAAAAATTGAATTAAAATCATGGATCCTAAATCAGCCAAGGCTACAAATCCATAAGTTTGTTGACACTAAAAACCTATATATTATTTGATCATAAAATGATGCAAATTTATACATTTGACTAGTATACTTAAATAAAATTTGTTGTATTAATATAACTTTACTTCGGTTAAAACCCAAGCACAAGTGTACACTTTTTTGGGTATATTATAATTATTGGACATTGCCGTTATTATTTATACGAAAACTTTGTAATTGGACCAATAAACATTATTATTATTATTATTAATATGAGCGTGATATGAAATGTCACATTGTAAAAATCTTGTGGTATTGCAGTCTTTTCTATAACAATCCATTTTTTCCACATTTGATAAGCGAATCTAAACTCTTAAAACTAAATAAATAATTTTCCATTGAATAAAATGATGAATGAAATACAGAAATACCGAGCGTCAGATACTGGGACAAAACACCTCTGCAAGTCAGCTTTACATGCATTTTTCCTTATTGTTTCATGCTACCATCCTAGGAAAATAAACACTATAGTCAGTGATCTTGGTGTACAAGATTAAAACTGTTCACATATCCATCGAAATTTTACAAACACAGTAGACTGTGTAGTAGAATGTCAAAGCTGAGTTAATGTTTAAGTTCAGTGTGATTATCACTATTATTATTAAATTAATTCTGTTATCAATATCAAAATTAATATTACTAAAAACATATTATTACTGTTGCTAGTGAAGTGTTCTTACCTTCCCAAAACTTCCTTTTCCTAGCACTTTGAGGAAGTTGAAGTCGTCGATACTGTACTTCTTAAACCTTGGTATTGTAGTAGCCGGTGGAGTTATCCGGCCTGTCTTTTGAAAACTTGCGTACGTGCTCGAAGCTGAGAACTCCTCAGGGATGCACTCGGAATCCAGAGAATACTCGGAGTTATTCGCCAATGGGCTAGTGCTTGGAGAGTCACGGCTGTCTGAGGATTCTATACAGAAAATTTTGAAGTAAAAGATGATGTTTACACAGTTGAACAAGCAAACTCATGCTGACTGGAATATGTTTGTTTTCTGTCTGTGCGAAAACTATGTTTCATGCTTTTTAGCAATCATCTGTACGGAATAGGTCGTCATATGGAGATACATAACGGAAATCAAACATGATAATAGGTTTATTGGAAAACTCAATCTTGCGATGTGCAAAGTATTAAGATGACACGCCATCAGTGGGTAGGAAATGCTGTCACACGCAGGGGTCGGCGATACCGCGATTAACGAAGCTACTCATAGGTGGCGTGTCATCTCAATATCTTGCATAAATAAGCACAAGTTTTTCAAATTGCATCTAAAAAATTCTGCCAGCACTTGAATAACTGGATATTCCGAGTGTTTCAAAGTCAACACTCAACCATTGGGATCGGAAAAAGAAAGATATACGAAGTCGCTCAAATATAGGGGAAAGTTGCGCATTTAGGTAACTAACAACGAGAGACGAAAAAAATCGTTTTTGACTTTATTTTGTAGTCACATTTCAAAATGAATTGCACATTACTAATGCCACTTTTTCTCCTCTACAAGGCGGTTTAGTTAGAATTTCAATATGAAGTTTCGTCTCTTGTCCTTTATCATCAGCTAATTTTTTACTAGATAATGCCACATTGGATTTTAGTATAGATCAATAGAGTTATTGATTCTGATTTCAAAAATATATAATATGTCATACATAGACATTACCTAACCATAGTTATTTCAAAGAACAGAATTTCCCAGGTAGGCCTAATAATTATCATTGGTTTTCTATATCGGATTTATCGCAAAAAGGTTGTTATTTCCTGGTTAACGAGAAACGATAAAAATGATTTTGCGATAAATCTGGTCTACGAAATCAATGCTATCTGATAATTTCAAGACACACCTAGGAAATTATCTTTATTTTCAAATAACAAGGTTTGAAATCAGAATCAAATACTCTATTCATCTGTGCGAAAGTCAAATATGGCGCTCTTAGAAAGAATAATGTTGCAGAGCTGAAAAAGTGGCAGTGTTAATGTGCAGCTTATTTTGAAATCTCACTACAAATAAAGTCAGGAAAAACTTGAAATGATTTTGAAAAAAATCGTTTTTTCCGTTTTTCTTCGGAAGTTGAATTTCGTAGACAACTTTCATGCACTTTCTGATTAATGAATGAGAATAATATACTAAGTGACATATAAATCCGAACACCCAGGTTAAATGGTTTTATTTTAATAAAATTTTGTATAAGTACTTAATGAAGCATAATAAGTAAATGATAAAAATTTCAAAATGATTGCACTGCCTTAGAGCCCTTTGACCTTTAATAATGTGTGGATGCACCCTGATGTGCTATGCATTCTCCAACGCGCCTAGGCATGCTTGTGATCAGGTGGTCAATGTACTCCTGTGGTATCTCATTCCAGGCAACCACCAACTCCTCTCGGAGTGCTTCTAGATTCTGAGGAGGACGTTGCAAATTGAGCAATCTCCTACCCATCATATCCCACAAGTGCTCAATTGGGGATAAGTCGGGAGATCTTGGTGGCCATGGTAACAATGTGACATTATGTTGAAAGAAGTCTATTGTGACTCTTGCAACATGTGGTCGGGCATTATCTTGTTGGAAAGTTGGATCTGCCAGGGTGTCAAGATAGGGTAAAAGATGGGGTTCTAGAACTTCGTCGATATAACGCTGCGCGTTCATGTTACCTCTGATGAAGATTAAAGGTGACCTGGAACCATAAGCTATAGCACCCCAAACCATAACTCCAACAGTGTGATGAACATGTCTTTCAATAAAAAACTGTGGATTCCTCCTTTCACCACGTCGCCTTCTAACCCTGGCACGACCACCGTGCATGCCTAAACAAAATCGAGACTCGTCACTAAAGACAATACTGTTCCATTCCTGATCCCAGAGTGACCGTTGTCTGCACCCCTCAAGGCGATTACGTCGGTGTTCTCGAGTTAAAGGGAGCACCCAGTGTGGCCGGTATGAAAACAAGCCAAAACTTCTCATTCGTCGGTAAACACTTCGCATGCCAATAGGTCTTCCGTGTTCTGCAAACCATTCATTTGCAATGGACCTGGTAGTGGAGAAACGGTCCCTTAAGGCCAATAATCTTAGGCGGCGATCTTCACGGTCTGTTGTTCTACGGCGGCATCCAGTGCCCCTTGCTCTTTGCGTACGGCCTTCTCGAAGCCATGCCTGACAACACCTAACCACAGTGTCTACACTTCTTTGCACTCTAACTGCAATTGCCCGAAAAGAAAGTCCAGCTTCCCGAAGTCCCACTATGCGGCCCCTATCGAACTCACTAAGTTGACGAAATCGTACAGGTCTCCGTACTCTAGGCATCGTAACCGATCGTAAAGGATGTCAAGAACCAAAATCCGCCAACGTTGATTCTTTACTGCGGCTGAAATATTCATTTTTAGAGCGTTAGTGAATTAAAAAAAAGCAGTATAAAAACCGGAATGTCCAATTGATAAGGCTGAACATTTTTTCACTTGTTATTTACAGTAAGATAAATACATTCAACAACTTTTATTAAAATAAAACTATTTAAACTGGGTGTTCGGATTTATATGTCACTTAGTATTATAATAATAATAATATAATTGCATCACAAGTTTTCAAAAAAAAACGAATTTCTTGTTTCACAGTTACAGTTACAGTTACTCGCCCTAGCAGCTACTTTATGAAGAAAAAATCAATCTCCAGCAAATTCCATTAAAATCATTTTTTTTATACCGATAGCTTTAGATTGACTGGTTGCCGGAATTACCAAGAGAAGTGGGATATTTATATGACGGAAGCTTAATCGGGATCTAAAACAGGCACCTCTTTCAAAAAAGTAATAGACATTGTTGTCCTTAACCATAATTAAATAAAATCTGTAAAAAAGCATGCCTTTGTAACCTTAACGTAAATTTAAAACTAGTGTTACTTGCATAAAAAGCACCAAGCACCAGGTAAAATACGTACTTCGACCAAAAAGCTGGAAATTTTATCAGAGTTGTCCAGTGTTATATTCTAAAATGTAGAATGCACCAGCAAGTTATAATAAGTAAAATTTCAGGATAGCTTTACTAAAAGGAACTCAGAAAATCGCTTATAAATAGTCGATTTCGATCATCTTTTTGAAAAAAGATGCCAGATGCAGAACAAACTTGTTCATTAGCACAAAGTCTTAATATGGGTAGTTTTTGATAAAAACAGCTTCCAGGCTATACCTAACCGGCACGGCCCGGGTATTATGTAAAAAACATATAAAACGTCAAAAAATGACTATAAAATATCATCTTGCAGACTAGGTAGTTTTTAGTTGCAATCAGTCATTCCATGTTTGGACCCTAGGATCGTAGGTGAGCAACCATCTATGGAGGAATGTCTCAATTACACGCATCGTTGGTTGCATATGTTTTGTGAAGCCGAGTGGTCTGTAGTTTTCATCTCTGCGAAGAAAGTTGGTTGAGTAGCAAGATCGCGTCTGGATGATTACCGAACATGCTTCCAATGGAGTATATCTATTAGCTGTGCCCGACGGGTTATTTATATGTTGTCCTTTCTGAAGACAGATTATGTTCATAGTTATAAATTACGATTTTTTACGTTTTTTTTGTGTTTTCAAAAACTTTAAGAAGAATTACGGGAAATCACCATCGCGCTTTTGTTATGTGTAATTACTGTTAGCATGTCTATGACTTGTAATTCGACAGTGCACAGTGAATATAATTATTTCGTATCTCTCTCATTTTTTAAATCCAGCAAATTTGCATATGTAATTTCTAGAATGGATAAAAAAAAGTTTTCTAGGTTTGAACCTCAAGTAAGTCTATTTGAGAGAAGAATCAAATGGAATTATCATCAACACATATTATTAGCATATAAATCCTCACTATGGACCTATGAATTGACATTTCCTTCTAGCTATAGTATACAACTTACAGCTTATACCTCCAGTAATGTCATCTCTGAAGCAGGTTTTACATCACATCAGAGCCAAACATTGATAACCGAAACATTGAACGTACAACTAGACAATGAGTTCACAACGTGTCGATCAGCTAGTGCTAAGTTAAAATCTTGTAGAAAAACCTACGTAATGTCACAAATAACCATTTATAAAACTTGAACTTTAATATTACAGAATGCAATATTCTCTTACACATGTTTGGATAGATCGATAAAACATTTTCTTATACATTGACTAGCTATTGATCCTTGTCATTCGATCAAGATGATGGATAGAAAAGTCCTCTACTGCTACTTTTTTGTTGCGAGCAGCATTGAGGATGCAGACATTTTAATGAACTCAATACATATTTACTGGGTTTCGGTAGTGGTGTCAGGAGAATGCTACCGGAATTTTCTACATCTACTCCTCTATATACATTCATTTCATCATCAGGTTTTAGGCCCGTATCGTCAGTCGTCCCTACAATTGTAGAGCGCGTTTATGGCCTCCTTGATTGTCATACGCCTTTTGATGCAAATAGATGTTTGTGACATAACCTCAAAATAGAGTTCTTACACGAAGAAGTAGAAAACTATGACAATCAAGGAGGCCATAAAAGCGCCCTACAATTGTAGGGACGACTGACGATACGGGCCTTAGACTTTGAAGGTTGAAGATAAATCATATCGCACAGTACAATTTGGGTCGAAACGGTTTTGATGGGGACATGAATCCATAAAAGACAATCCCAGAAGTAAAAAGGGTAAACATCAACACTATACTGGGTGAAAATATGATTGTTAGATGCGGAGGTCCACAAGGAACCGTATTAGGACCAATGCTATTTAATTTATATACTAATGACCCTTTTAAGGTAAAAAACGATGGAGAAATTATTGGTTTCGCAGACGATACGGCAATTATTTACTCAGACGAAAAAATAAAATTGTATTAGATTTTCAAAAGGTTACAAATATTTTCACGGAAAGGATTTTAACAGTCAATTTCAACAAAACATCTTTATTACATTTTCTTGCGACAACAGATCTTCCCCAAATTTTAATCAACTCCAAATTTAAACGTTGAATAGCTGTAGAAACATACAATCAGTTGATAATTTCAAATTCCTAGAGGCATTAATCTAAGATGGAATAAGCATATTGAAAACTTGGTAAGAAAATTAAGATACCTCATTCCGAAAGTCAAACATTTCAGCTGTTTTTTAAGCGAAAAATATCTACACATGATATATCATGCCCTTGTTCAATCATTACTATCTTATAGAAACTTAGCATGGGGGTGAGTCATGAATAATTATTATAAAAAGATTGAAATTACGCATAATTCGATTTTGAAAGTTATGTTGAACAAAAAGAAATGTTATCCCTCAGAAAATCTTTTCAATGAATCTCACCTTTTCGACTACCGGCAAATTTATTTTTATCATACAATAATATATTTAACAAAAAATCCAAAATTGTTACTTTCTATCAGCCACAACCATCAAACGCGATTCAAGGAGGCCTCTGTACTAATTCCTAGACTTAATAAAACTATCAGCCAAAGATCATTCTATTTTCTATGCTCAAAATTTTATAATGTTATTCCTACAAACCTTAAACATATAAAATGTAAAAAACGTTTAAAAATTGAATTAAAATCATGGATCAAAAGAGCAAAGAGCAACAAATGATGGAATGATTCAAACGAATTGAAGCTATGGTTTTCGAATACCGTCGTGTGAAGGCTTCTACCATTAGTAGGGCCTTGAATATACAGGGTGTCCGCAAAGTTGGGGTTTTCCTTTTCAGAAACAACTACCCTTGAAATAACAAAGGTAATGTGTAGTGAAACGAGGGCGACCAAGTAAAAAAAAATAAAGGAAAAAGTACTCACTCTCCAGCTGACGAGAAGGGCTAAGTACGTCTCTGCCCGAAATCATACCGCTCCAACAGAAAATGAAATCAGCTGATGCGCTACCGAGCAGACGCAGGCAAACAAGGAAGGCAAAATGTTGCGTAAAAGGTCTAGGTATTGCATTCCGTCCAATGGATTTGGGAGAATAAATGGTGCAATGAGCATACCGTTCACCATGCCAGCCCAAACATTCACCGAAAATGTTTGTTGAAAATGTGCCCGACGGACAGCGTGCGGATTTTCTACTGACCAAACAAGAGTGTTGCGAAAGTTATTCACCCCATTACGCGTGAACGTAGATTCGTCTGTCACCAATATGCACTTCAAAGTCCGGATTATTGTCATGTTGATGCAACAACCACTCACAAAACCGTACTCTTGCTGGAAAATCGTCAGGCTGAAGGGCTTGTACACGTTGGACGTGAAACGGATACAGCTCCTCTTCACGCACTTTAGTTTTTGATACTTGCACTTCTCTAACCACGTCTCTAGTGCTTGTTGAGGGATTCTCGTCTACGCGGTTACCTCTACACGCGTGACCGTAACCATCGGTTGAAGGTTGCATACTGACCTGACACACTGACCCCGACCCAGTTCTGTCGTCGGGTTGAGCTAGTGTCCTAGTACCACTCGGGGATGTCGCGGCTACAGGACGGTAATCAGATATTTTTGATGTTGCAGAGCCCTTTATCTCGGGTTCCCTTAAGATATTGGTGTATATGGTACTAAGAAAAATTGCTTATGTTTTCAAGATCTACACGTCGTGTAAAGGAAAACCCCAACTTTGCGGACACCCTGTATTTTAACCGAACATAATAACCATCTTGCACGATAATTGGAACACGAGTAAGGTGTCAGCCAGTTGGGTTCCACGACTGTCGGCACCTGAACAAAAATAGCGCAAGTTGGAAATTTCAGAGATTTGGATCATTTGGAAGCTTTGACCAACAATTCTGAACATTTGGCACAAGTTGTGAGAGGCGACAAGACTTGCGTGCAACATTGGAATCCTGGGATAAGAGCAGAATCCGGGCAGTGGGTTCATAGAGGGCCTCCCCCCAAAAAGGCACGGACACAAGTCTCTGCTGTATTGTTGGCAACAGTTTTTTGGGACGTCAGGGGTATCCTTTTCATTGAATGTATGCCAAAAGGGACCAACAACAAATGCGAAGAACACGCTGAAAAATTTAAGTGACGCAATCAACCGAAAATAGGATGTTTCAAATCGAAACGTATGACAATGCGACGGTGCAGAAGGCTTCCAAAACTAGATCAGCTGTGCAGGAATGCAGCTTCGTTGAGATAGATCTTCATCCCAGCTTTGTTGAGATAGACCTTTATCTCAGCCTTGTTGAGATAGACCTTCATCTCTTTAGATTATTAAGGAAAAACCATCGAGGACGCCGTTTTGGCTTACACGAGCAACCTTCGATATCTTCTTTGAGAGTCAAGAGGAAACATTTTTTTATAAGATTCACCTGAGGAGAAATGACGCAAGTGCATTGATGTAGGGAGGTTATATTGAAAAATAAAATTATCGAAAAAATCGTACATCTTTTATTTCATGGTTAGGTAGTCTTCTTTTCTAGCACCCCTTGTATATTGCTGATCAGTTAACAGGTAACGCTACAGAAGCACATAAAGGGAAACAATGTGTGGTCTCGCCTCGTGATATGGGAATTTTGGCCTGCAGTTTTGGAAATATTCCAGGTAGCGATGAGATTCATTACACCAGGCGAAATACTTTTTCAAGTTGTTCGTCATGTCTCGTGCGCAAAACATAACAGTGAGAAATGATACCTTTACGGACGTACATAGTTTTAGACTACGTTCGTGTGTCATCAGCTAATTCTACCTCTTTAGACGAACATCTAAAGTATTTTAACGAGCACTGATGAGGTGAATGTTACTTTTTGAGCACAAGGTATTGGTAACTGTTAAAAAAATCAGTTATTTCGTTGGCAACGTTCGTTCTATTGAACGGGTATTTTGACTTAGACAAAATTGCATTTTCAATGCCATTTTGACTCAGACAAAATTGCATTTTTAATACATTTATTCAAGTATTGAAAGTGCGTAAAATCTCAAAAATGAGATATGTTTTTTTTGTATTATGTGACATCTACAATAGATTGCAAAAAACCATGTCACACATTTCCGCCTGTTTGTCGTTCCGCTAATCCTTGACCCGTCTGTAACTTGGGAAGTACTACTGTGATTTCAATGAAATTTTTACACAAGGTTACTACTATGCCGAGGACGAGAAAGCTTTTTAGTTTTTGAGAATCGCTCCAATGGCGGAAGAGAAAAAGGATAAAAACGAAAAAACAAATAACGCTAATAGGATTCTGATCATTTTCAGAAAAAAAAATACCAAAAACATAATTATATCATATTGCTCTAATGACTTTTTAGAAGTTGGACGTCATGACTCGTTCAGTTTTTTCATTGACAATTCGATGCAAATTTCCTATTCACCACAGAGACAGAATTGTATTTCCAAAATCATTATTTATCCTCGTTTTTACTTTCCACGCCTACTGGCGTGGCACGAGATGAAAAAGGTTCTACGACAACATCCTGCTCGTACAATCACCGAACTCAAAAGCTTCAAGAAATGTGGGATTGTTTTACACCAAATTTTTGCCAAAACTTGGTTAACACTATGCCTCAAAGAATTTCAGCCGTAATAAAAAATAAAGGTGAGGTTACCCAATGGTAATCTTTCAATTGTTGCTTTGTTAACTTCGCGCATTTATTCGCACATTGTTTATTTGTTCAGATGTTCTATTAGTTATAGGTCTAAGTGATTTCAAATATGTATTTTTACGACTAGAGTGTATCTAAAATGTTTTTGACACAATAAATTGTTTTAGAAGTAAATAGTTTCGTCATGTTTAGTTTATAAAGGCATATTTTGGTACAAATCTTGAAGTGGGTCAACTGAAGTGGGAAGGGGCTCGTACTATATACAACTGTCTCAAATTAAAATCTCATAATATCCTATTTGCTCCAAATTCAACATTCATAAACATCAATCAATCCTTTCTAGCAATTGCTGCTACCTTGCCAAGTTTTGTACATTATCCGATATCCTCCAAAAAAAAAAACTGGAAATAGATACGACCTATTTACGCGATCATTACCCATTTCCAGGAATCATTTCAGGTGAAATTAGTTGGAACGGTTAAAAGTAGTGAATGCTGTCTAAAAATATTCTTCAATGATAAAATCGGCCGTTTGTCCAGATGGGAAATTAAGATGCTACCTGATTTTGATGCAGTGGATAACTCAGTTTTATGATCAAATTCCTGGCAAAGAACAGCAAAGTGATCTCCCTATAGGCGCCAGGTCGTATGGTTATAGTTGAAAATAGGCGGACTGATTAGTTTGTCAGGCAATCATACCGCTTGGACGAGTCATGTGCCAGTTTAGTCTTGTATCAAGTACTGTCTCTCCTCAAGCTTTTATATTCGTTAGCACAGAGCTACAAAAATTGGTTAGATTTCACTTCCCACGCCAACGTTATTAAACTGAGATATATTAAGTGACATATAAATCCGAAAACCCAGTTTAATTGGTTTTATTTTAATAAAAGTTGGTGAATGTATTTATCTTACTGTAAATAACAAGTGAAAAAATTTTCAGCCTTATCAGTTGGACATTCCGGTTTTTATACTGCTTTTTTTTTTAATGCACTAACGCTCTAAAAATGAATATTTCAGCCGCAGTAAAGAATCAACGTTGGCGGATTTTGGTTCTTGACATCCTTTACGATCGGTTACGATGCCTAGAGTACGAAGACGTGTACGATTTCGTCAACTTACTGAGTTTGATAGGGGCCGTATAGTGGGACTTCGGGAAGCTGGACTTTCTTTTCGGGCAATTGCAGTTAGAGTGCAAAGAAGTGTAGACACTGTGGTTAGGTGTTGTCAGGCATAGATTCGAGAAGGCCATACGCAAAGAGCAAGGGGCACTGGACGCCGCCGTAGAAAAACAGACCGTGAAGATCGCCGCCTACGATTATTGGCCTTAAGGGACCGTTTCTCCACTACCAGGTCCATTGCAAATGAATGGTTTGCAGAACACGGAAGACCTATTGGCATGCGAAGTGTTTACCGGCGAATGAGAAGTTTTGGCTTGTTTTCATACCGGCCACACTGGGTCCCTTTAACTCGAGAACACCGACGTAATCGCCTTGAGTGGTGCAGACAACGGTCACTCTGGGATCAGGAATGGAACAGTATTGTCTTTAGTGACGAGTCTCGATTTTGTTTAGGCATGCACGATGGTCGTACCAGGGTTAGAAGGCGACGTGGTGAAAGGAGGAATCCACAGTTTTTTGTTGAAAGACATGTTCATCACACTGTTGGAGTTATGGTTTGGGGTGCTATAGCTTATGGTTCCAGGTCACCTTTAATCTTCATCAGAGGTAACATGAACGCGCAGCGTTATATCCACGAAGTTCTAGAACCCCATCTTTTACCCTATGTTGACACCCTGGCAGATCCAACTTTCAAACCAGATAATGCCCGACCACATGTTGCAAGAGTCACAATAGACTTCTTTCAACATAATGATGTCACATTGTTACCATGGCCACCAAGATCTCCCGACTTATCCCCAATTGAGCACGTGTGGGATATGATGAGATTGATTAGATTGCTCAATTTGCAACGTCCTCCTCAGACTCTAGAAGCACTTGGAGAGGAGTTGGTGGTTGCCTGGAATGAGATACCACAGGAGGACATTGACCACCTGATCAGAAGCATGCCTAGGCGCGTTGGAGAATGCGTAGCACATCAGGGTGCATCCACACATTATTAAAGGTCAAAGGGCTTTAAAGCAGTGCAATCATTTTGAAATGTTTATCATTTACTTCATTAAGTACTTATACAAAATTTTATTAAAATAAAACCATTTAAACTGGGTGTTCGGATTTATATGTCACTTAGTATATTTCCTCTCACAATAGAGTTGGGTGTAAGTGTATCCAACTCGCTAAACATTGGCTTAATGTTGTGATTAGAATAAATACATTTTATTATTAGGTGCTTCTAATCCGGGAATCGCACCTCACCTTTATTAACCAGAACAATGAGCTAGCGACGACGTTCCAAACGAGCATTCCAGCATTTTTATGTGACGTGACCTCGTTTATTCCAGAAAACGATAAACCATTCTCTCGCAATACTCTTGTGCTTCCTATTGCTATAAAATCTTTATGTTTCGAATAAAGACGTGTGTATAACTTTCCCAGCGTGTTATACGACCTGTGTGTTGTGAAAGAGTGCCAAAAATGTAAAAACAAGTATAAATTTTCAAGTGAGTATCGGATTAAAACATTCAGGATTCGGTAATTTACACGTTTTTCTGATTTAATCTTGAATTGTAAACAGGCTGGGAAAGATTAATTTCGGCGTAATTTTTAAGGTTGCTGACCATAAAATAACTTCGGTTGAACGATTTACTAGCACGATAAAGAACGAGGTACATTTAACAAACGCATGATGTGTGCGGTGGTTTAGTGATGTGTGCGACGATAAGGTGAATGTGTGACACTTGGCAACTACAGTGGGTGATATGCATAAAGGTGAGTGGGTTCTCAGAAGTAGCGACTCCATATTGTAGCGAGTAACTACTCCTGTTACGGAGAGCCTACTCGGTTTTGATATGCATAAAATAATTATCGAGAAACGGAGAGGCTACTCAAGTTCTAATGAAATACTTGAGTAGGCACTCTGGTTTTCGAGTTCCGACTTGTATTTTGTTGTCTCGCCGAATTGGCAATTTCTCTATTGCGAGCAGTTACTACTGTATACCGGTAAACGTTTGTGTCGGTGGTGTTTAGGTCGATTATTATTTGTTCATTTACATGATGTCAACCTATTCTGAAGACCATTCATCTGAAGATCAAACAGTATTTGTTAATATAATTAAACATCCCGGAAATCAAAAATAAACGCCGTAAGGCGGTTGAAGAAATGAAAGAAAAGGTAGAAGCAGAATTAGGAGTTAAATATAATGAGGGGCAGATTTGGAAGAAGATTCAAAACATAAAAACTGGTTACTTATTAAACTTACTTATTTTAACTTTACTAAACCGATATAAGGCCCGATAGTCTACTTTCCTTGATTTCCTACGATCTTCAAACACCTTCGTAGGCTGATAAATAGGCATAAATTCGGCCATTTCGTGAAGACATCCACTTCTTATAAAGCTGAGTCTACTACTAAGGTATCTCGCATTTCTTTAAGTATGTACTCAGCGGTCGGAGTGGACGCTCGCTTTTATGCATATAAAAATTAAAGTCGGCACTCAAGGAGCGAGTACAGCCTCACGGAAAGAGTAGAAACTTATGAGTGTG